ATAATTGATCATATGATAGGGATAATTTTCCTCTTTGCTTACTCTTTTCACTTGCCTTAAATTTAAATTTGAGATTTTTAATTTATCTCAAATTCTTAATCACTTAAAACTTAAAACACCCCATTAAGGTGGCTTGAAAAATGTTGAAAGGAGATTTAGCATGATTAAATCTAACGGGATATACCAACGAGGGGTTGGATCAAGTGGTAAGCGACTTGTTTCAGCTTAAGTAAGATCTCGAGTTCGAGACCTTGTGTATGCAGCAGCCCTCGCTGGGAGACTCACCCACCATTTTCAGGTGCGCGACGCGGGTCGGGTCCGGATTTGTCGGGGTGAAGCCCCGGATACCGGGCGGGAAACCAAAAAAAAAAAATCTAACGAGATATACCTCCCCTCTTAGGACCATAGAGATTATTCCCCATTGATCGACTGAAATAACTACTACCATTATCCTTATATACTTTGACTGCATTCCATAGAAACATGAAAGGGAAATAAGCCAGTCTTCAAATGACCAATATGCAGCGGTAGCATTTGCCAGGATGAGCCCCCTTTTTTTCCCCCCTTTTTTCACTATACTTCGCCTGCTCCTATCAATGTATATAGTGTATACCGTTATTCTTCTACACTTATGTGATGTAGATATATAACATTAGTTTTTTTAGACATTGATACAAACATTTTTTAGTTCAATACACTTTATAATACATTCATTAAAAAATTATTTTCTTTAGAATTAAAAGTGAAAAAAACATAAAATTGTGTATTTTAATGATTGAACTAGTAGATAATAACAAGTGTGTTGAATCAAATGGTGTACTAACACTACTAGAGAGTAAAGAATTAGCAATCAAAGTATCAACAATATGGGTGCTACATTGCTGATACTATATCATTACCAATGTGTATTAGCTTGGTGATTGGTTAAATAGTGCCAATTTTATGTCTTTTGAGCACTTGACAATTAGCAACACAAAGTATGTTGCTAAAAGCACTATCAACAACGTAGCACACGTTGCTAAACTTTATTGATTTTTGCTGAATTATTCTAGCAATCAAGGAATTTAGCAAGGTGGTATACGTCAATGATTTCAATTATCACCAATATGTTGCATAATGCTAAATTCCTCCAGTAGCACTAATGCTTCCTAGTAATCTCTTGGTATGGCCATTGATGGAAATCCTAGGAGAAAGAAGTTATGGGAGCCACTGATAAATAAATTCCGAGCCAAACTCGCTGTCTGGAAAGCTGCTTCGCTATCTGGAAAGCT